GGACGTGATGATCCAATTTGTTAACAGAAATGCTTGGCTTTCCTGGTATTTTACAGTTGACATTTTACTGTATCGTGCAGCTGTATCAATGTCTAAATGGACATTTTAATTCTGATTTTTTTGTCAATAAGTCTCTTTTATTGGCATCACAATAAAGATAGATTAAAAGATAAAGATCTACGACAAACACTGTCCAACCATACATTGTTAATACATCAAAGGAATAAACCATGCTTGTCTTTTAAATGAAATGTGTAACACTATAATAGTACAAATAGCTATTCAACACATTTAAATGACACGATATTCTCGTCGAGTTCACAGGGACGTTGACATTAGCAGGAAGCGGTTAAACCATATTTTCAAACGACAAATGGAATAAGTTAACTAATTATTTTTGGCGGAAGGTTCCAGGAAACTTGTCTGTATCAAGTGCTGTGTAGGCTAGGCATTTTACTGGTGCGTTTAACGGGTACATCTGTATTTGTAAGCTTTAACACATGAAATGTAGATATCACAGGAGATGTAGATATCACAGGAGATGTAGATATCACATATGTAGATATCACAGAAAATGTAGATATCACAGGAGATGTAGATATCACAGATGAAGACATCAGAGAAGATGTAGATACCACAGGAGATGTAGATATCACAAAAGATGTAGATATCACAGAAGATGTAGATATCACAGGAGATGTAGATATCACAGAAGATGTAGATATCACAGGAGATGTAGATATCACAGATGTAGATATCACAGGATATGTAGATATCACAAAAGATGTAGATATCACAGATGTAGATATCACAAAAGATGAAGATGTCACAGGAGATGTAGATATCACAGATGTAGATATCACAGAAAATGTAGATATTACAGGAAATGTAGATATCACAGGAGATATAGATATCACAGATGTAGATATCACAAAAGATGAAGATGTCACAGAAAATGTAGCTATCACAGGAGATGTAGATATCACAAAAGATGTAGATATCACATGAGATGAAGATATCACAGGAGATGTAGATATCACAGGAGATGAAGATATCACAGGAGATGTAGATATCACAGGAGATGAAGATATCACAGAAGACGAAAATATCACAAAAAATGCTGATATCAACGAACGGAAATCTTTGAAACCTTATATTTTCTAATGTAGTATCTTTTGTTTTACTGGAAATTTAGAATTAGAAACAGAATAGCCGAACAAAAACCGAGAAAGAAAGACTGAAAGAACATCATAAATGTCACTTACCCAATAATTTATTTCAGGATCTAAGTATGAGCAGAATATAAGCTGATTTGACAACATATGTCATTAGATAATATGTATATGTACAGTAGTACACTATACAGATTGTAATGAGAAACTAACTTCCATCTCTTGTGAGAAATCGCCCAATTATACCATGACGGTGGCCAAATAAGCTCGTAATTCAAAGAAAATCCTTCAACATTTCTCAATTGCGTGTAAATATTGCAGGCTTTGGAAGCATGTTCTTACTACTAAGAAATGGTGAACTTAGAAAAAATCTTTAAAAGCGCTAAGCTTACTGATTTGTGGTTTGAATGTGTGAGGTCAATATCACTGGCTTCAGGAGAGCATACATTTCATCGTGTTCCACACCTCTGTGTGTCATTTCTAGGCCAAGCTTTGTCAATATACTATGCATTGTAATTCATTAATAAATAAGTTATTAAATGTGTTCACTCCTTGTTGCGAACTCTTCTTTAAAAATTGGTCCTAGAAATCACGAAAACAAGTTAGCTAAGAGAGAGTGCCACTTTACCCGTACTAGTTAAATACAACAGTATAATAAAAACTCTTATATGTATTCAACAAAATCATCACGAACAATGTGTTCGTTTTTTTCACAAAATAAGTTTGAAATAGTAAACAAAGACATATTTGTTATACATTCAAAACAAGAAACGATGTTTAGTAAATGTATAGATTTTAAGAGCGGACCTAAAAATGTTAGAGTTTTATCCTGAAAGGCCTGAACTGGTATCCAGCGACACCACAAAACCAAAATCGAAACTGGTTCCCGTAGAAATATGTGTCAAAATATCGATGAGAAGATTTTCAATATTGGCATGCGAGGTCATTTTAAGCAAGAATTTTGTCTACGAAACATTTGTGCAATTATTGTTCAATTTTACCGCCGGGTAAGCTGATGCACGTTAAGAACCATGGTACCTGCTTTTGTTACCTAACAAGTGTTAAACAGTTAACGATGAAAATATCATTGTGTTCTTAATATATCGACTAGATTGCAGGATATTGGCATTAGAATTATTTTCTGTTTAAGAAACGTTCCATGCTATCATTTGCATTTTCATGGTGTCATTTGTAGACCTCTTGTAACTCGTCACAAATTATTCAATATTTTCAATGGTTCAATTGATGGTGACAAATCGCATTTATCGCGGCCTGCTAAATGTTATCATTAGTGGGTTGGACTAGTTCTTGTATGGGGTAATGAGACGAAAACATATAATAACCCATAATGCACCACGCCATATAGTCTCACATATGGTATACAATGACATCTACATGTATGCTCAGCAAAAATTAGTCTCGTTCACCAGCCTCATAGCGGATCCCGTAAACTCACGGAAGCAATCATGGGCATTGTGAACGAGATTAAGAAAAAAGAAAGGAAACACATATCAAATAATTACTCTTTAACAGTGGTTTCACGAGACATTGTAAATCGAAGACTAACAAGCCATTAACTAATAGGAGCGAGCTCAAATAACGATTCGACGTGTCATTCCCTCCGGAATATCGACATTCTACTTTCAAATGAGGTGTACTCGGTTGACATAACTTCCGGCGGCGCTCACAGGAAGCCGCCCGAATCTGTATACAGTTAATCACGTGACTGGTGCTACCTGCGGCATAAAACAAACAAGGTGGATAATAGAGTATCATCTACACATCAATTTCATATAATAATCCGGTTTAATGCTGATTTCACTTGTCTAATCAATGCTTGGTCTGTTTGAGGTGTCCGCCTCAGATAGCGCCGCTGAGTGCACCTTTTGTTTAGGATTGTTGGAGAGGCGGATTTGAATCGCTTGAATGGGTCTATAAAGGTATGTTCAATGATTGGGACATACAGCACGGACAGAGACATCTACCATGGGACTCTTCAGGATGGACAAAATCTATAATGCAATTGAGAAATTCTTTTCTTGTGTTGACGCAACACATCGGTTCGAAATTTCATTATTGTGTCATTTAGTGAGATGCTTTATACCTTATTTCAGTATCTTTCTTTTTTCGACCGTCGATCCTTGTCCTTAATAAAACGGATACAAACTGGTATCTTTAATGAACTCACTCAGAAACCTACAGTAGAGGGTTACACAAAAAAAATTCTGTAGATTCGAGTCATACAGTCGACGGTAAAGGAATATCCCAACTGTATCTTACTACATGTCGTCACAGGCGACTAGTTGTGGGACAAACCTTCAGAATCAGATATTTCTTCCGTTTCTCCTACCAAGGGGACATAACTTTTTAACGCTGCCCCATCAGAACACACGGGGGTTTTCCTGATCTTTTCCTTTCTTTCCTAAACTGGTCTATCATTTGCTTGGATTTCCACTCTTGTGTTCATGACATCCGCCCTCATATGACCCCGGCTGTTGGGAGGACGTTAAAAACAAAGACAACTTGTAATCTCTCTCAGAACCCTAATGCGAAGGGAAGACCATCCATTTGGATCAAGACCTCTGACCTTTATATTTCTAGGGATCGAATACTACCTTTGGCCTCTGTTAGATATCGTAGATTTGTAACTGTATTAGTTGGTAGAGCTAGACTTCGGTTTCAAGACCTTGGTGAGAAGAAGGATAGCGTAGGATTAAGGTTCTGGGTTTTTCTATCACACTTGTATTTTGCAGAGTTTTAGCGTTATTTACCAATACAGCAATAAATCTGCCAAATGCTTCTTTTTAACACTTTGAAATATCAATTTTTTGGGCTGACTTTCTGACGATATCAACGAAAACACCTTAGCGATCTTTTTACTTTAGTTTATAACCTTTATTACTGTTTTACAGTCCAACTATAATAAACTGTAGATATTAGAATGACAACGAAATATGATTCCGACTGAAATCTGTATACCCTGAGGCACTCGTCAAGGTTTAGTCTATATTCATAACCTTGACGTTATTTTGAAATTCCACCAGACGGATTTTTTTGTTTTTCTTCGGATTAAAGGGTTAGCACAAAACCCCATCTGTAGGTTAACGTCGATATTGACAAATTTTGATGTCGCCTCTTACCATCTATGCCCCAAACACCACTGAAAAATCCGAGTTGAATGAAGCAGCTGTGTGACGTAAATTTATTTCTTTCCTAATCTGTATGAAAATATGCTATTCGCTTCTGTATCAACTGTACAATTCTGAGATATTTAAAATCATCTAAAGCAGTCTTACACTCCTCAAGCATCCATGGATTTCTCCTGTCTTGTCAACTATATTTGGAATGCCAATTAATATGATGACGTCATATGCCCTCAATCACAAAAAAGTGTCCGTCTGACACTTCTTACAGGGTTTTTTGTTATTAAAGGTTCAGAATTAATTTATTTTTTTATGACCAACACGCAAAAGACTGACTAGTCTTAAACCTCTAGTCTTAAACGAAAATACTCAAAAGTTATAACAAATATTCAGAATCAATCGGTTTGATAATATAAATGCGTGTGTCTATGTTGTAAGAGAATGTTAACATGCGTCCTGACAACCATTGATTGTGACCTTGACGAAAGTTTACACAATGACAAGACTTTCCCCTATCATTTGTGTGGCAGTTTTCCAGCGTACAGATCAAAATACATTTACCTATCACCTAAGTAGTTAGTCATAATGAAAAGTCATGACTCGGTAGACTTAACGACGCTCAGAGGACTCCTAAGTTAAATTTTGTCGATTAAGAAGAAATATTTAGTCTTCTTAAAACATCCTAGCGCCTGTTGACATGGTCGATATCCAGGCTGTAATCTATCTGTTATATACAAACACAACATCTGTATTCGATCTCCCGAATATGCTTGCAGTCGGCAACATTATCAACATTTGTACTAGCTTGCACGCATTCAATGGGATGATTCGACACGTACTAGAGAGACAATATAATCATCTCTTTGAGGTACACGTGCTTTAAGGAAACATCGCACTTCAATGACTAAAAATATTCGCGGGTGTTGAATGACGGACGCTTATCCTGGATCATAAGGCAAATTTGTCCCTGGAGTCAGTCAATTTCGAAAACGCGGGAATTGTTGCTATATAATTAGCTAATACGGAGACTGCGATGTGTAGTAGGATACTTAATGAAAGTTTATGAATTATGTACACATGGTTGTAAGGTGAGCATACACACTAGAACGGCCGTGCATCGCTGAAGCATACAGTAGCAGGCACTATCGATCTTTTGCTCCGTGCCATCTTCACGCTAGCCTGACTCGAGTTAGTCTGGCCAGCTTACTGTTTGTGTATTGACGCGAGAACGAAAGAACGCGTTGTCCGGTGGTTGATTCGGTCCTGACACAGAAGATGGCATACCTCAATTAGTGATGTCCTACCGTTAATTTCCTTTTGGACTTGGAACACACTTTTGTAGCGGTGTTGTAGGTATTTACAACACACCACGGATATTACAGTGCTGTTACAGGTGTTGGGACATGTACAGGTATTTTAAGCGACGAACAATGCATTATTGAAGTTTTAAAAAAATACAACAGAGAGTTACTTTTGTACTTTTGATAATTGCTGTTTTACATATTTTGACGAGAAATAATTAGGCAATGTTTGACAGATGAATGACACGCTATTGTCTCGTCTCCCGTTTGTTTTCAACGTAGCTAGTACACAATTTAATGGCGAGAATACCAATTTAGGAATTTGATAGTTCGGTCAGCATGTCCGAAATGGAGGATAGGGCGGACATAATTCAGAGAGTATCTGTCCAGGACAAGGACAAACGGAATGGTGTCCCACCAGAAGTTCCTCCTTTGTGGGTCCCAGAGGAAAGGGACAAAATTAGATTCTGGGACTTATTCAAGGAGAACTGGATTTCCGTTGTAACCGATTGCCTAGTTTTTGGAAGTTTTGGAATGGGCGTGGCATTTCTGGGACCCACACTCTTCGATTTGGGATGCCAAACAAAATCAGATCTTAAAGAGATGAATTGGGTGTTTTTTGTTCAACTTCTAATGACATTAGTGGGATCTATTTCGGCTGGATGTTTGGCTGACAGGTAAGTGTTTCGATCTTCACGGTTCATGTATTTCAGCTGTGTATACTGTTTGTATTTACCAGTAAAACACCCTAAAATATTGAACGTCGGTAAAACTGCGCAGGAAAAAGGCTATGCGACAATTTAAGATAAATATCGAAGTCGATTTGGTTTTTTAAAAGGTATTCAAATTTTCGTAGGCGAAAATCATTCAGTTGGAACTTAACAAGTAGAGTAAATATATTTGTGTATCGATAGGCAGAAATAATCTCAATAGCATGCATATTTGCTTAAAAATTAAAATACCTTGTATCAATAAGTAGTTTGTGTGTCAGTTAGAGAACGATTATGTTAAGTCAAGTATGACTTCAAAAATATAGTAAAGGAATTATGAAAGGCTACTAGCTAAAACACTAAGTTTGTAACCATATGCAAAAAAACTCAACTGAATATCGGGATGTAAACATACATATAGGACTTGTTGATGTTTTACCTGTAATGATGAGTGACTGATATATACCTGTAGACTGATGAGTGACTGATATATACATGTAGACAGTGACTGATATATACATGTAGACTGATGAGTGACATATACATGTAGACTGATGGGTGACTGATATATACATGAAGACTGATGAGTGACTGACATATACGTGTAGACTGATGTGTGACTGATATATACATGTAGACTGATGAGGGACTGATGTAGACTGATGTGTGACTGATATATACATGTAGACTGATGAGTGACTGATATATACATGTAGACTGATGAGTGACAGATATATATATATATATATATATGTGTAGACTGATGAGTGACTGGTATATACATGTAGACTGATGAGTGACTGATATATACATGTAGACTGATGAGTGACTGATATATACATATAGACTGATGAGGGACTGATGTAGACATGTAGACTGATGAGTGACTGACATATACATGTAGACTGATGAGTGACTGACATATACATGTAGACTGATGTGTGACTGATATATACATGTAGACTGATGAGGGACTGATGTAGACTGATGAGTGACTGATATATATATATGTGTAGACTGATGAGTGACTGATATATACATGTGGAATGATGAGTGACTGATATATACATGTAGACTGATGAGTGACAGATATATATATATATATATATATGTGTGTAGACTGATGAGTGACTGGTATATACATGTAGACTGATGAGTGACTGATATAGACATGTAGACTGATGAGTGACTGATATATACATGTGTGACTAATGAGTGACTGATATGTACATGTAGACTGATGAGTGACTGATATATACATATAGACTGATGAGTGACTGATATATACATGTAGACAGTGACTGATATATACATGTAGACTGATGAGTGACATATACATGTAGACTGATGAGTGACTGATATATACATGAAGACTGATGAGTGACTGACATATACATGTAGACTGATGAGTGACTGACATATACGTGTAGACTGATGTGTGACTGGTATATACATGTGGAATGATGAGTGACTGATATATACATGTAGACTGATGAGTGACAGATATATATATATATGTGTAGACTGATGAGTGACTGGTATATACAATGTAGACTGATGAGTGACTGATATATATATATGTGTAGACTGATGAGTGACTGATATATACATGTGGAATGATGAGTGACTGATATATACATGTAGACTGATGAGTGACTGATATATACATATAGACTGATGAGTGACTGGTATATACATGTAGACTGATGAGTGACTGATATATATACATGTAGACTGATGAGTGACTGATATACACATGTAGACTGATGAGTGACTGATATATATACATGTAAACTGATGAGTTAATTTTAACATATTATACGTCTTGGTGTACTGATCATTAAGGGGATCTACCATATCAAACGTCTTTCAAAACATCTCGGAAATCAGTTTTAAATGTCGTTCTAACCATTTGTTACGGCGGTGTTAGAAAAATATCTTTCTGGTAATTTAACTTAATATCTCTTTTGAAATTAAAACGGATCTGAAATAATTATGGAGAAACTAGAACATCAGACTTACATTAGTCGGTAAAGGGATAAATCTGAGCGACTTGACACATTTGAGTCACACATTACATCTAAGTGACTTGACACATTAAAGACACGCAACATATATGAGTACGTTAACTCATTAGAGTAACACGACATATCTGAGTGACTTGACACATCAGAGAGACACGACACAGTCTTTTCATCACAATACGCTTATCTCCACGTTGTGTGTTACCTAGTCGGTGTCATCGAAACGATTAAGACTCTGTATGTAAACTAGTCATTGATATGCTTAATCTTGTATATAAGAATACAGTTTCAAGAACTCTTCTGTACGTCACCTAGTCAGGGTCCCCGACATTTTAATTCCAAGTTATGTGACATAGTCAAATTCACGTGACTTCGTCAATGTCATCGACATGCTTAACTTTATCGTACTTGGCGTAGCCACTGTCTTCAACAGGCTTAAATGTACTGAACGCGACCTAATCAGTGTCAGAGACAAGCTTACATGTCCTGCACGTGAGCTGCAGTAGTCAATGTCATCAAAAACCTTAAAAATAAGAAATTCTGCCTCAACGTCTCTGATATTTTACCCCCTCCATTGTTTTATTTTCATATCTCAAATGGATGTTTGAGAATAGCTCAGCACCATTACATCATACAGCAGAGGTGAAGTGAGTCATGTTTACATACATTTCTATTTCATTAATTCAGCTACATTGTCTATTACAATTTCAATAAATAATCTTGAAATCGATATGGACACATGCGTATGTATACAACAGACATGCTTTAATTTATTATATAAATGATTCTAGTACCTTAGCAGTAACGTCAGTTTAGCTTGGAAACGGTAAATGAATTTATCTTTTGTCGTATAAAACAGCTAGGTTTCCTGCGTCAGAACGTCACTATTTCAAATTAATGTCAAATGTTTTCTATTAATCATACATCATACACAGATACGTTCCGCCATCAATATTTCAAAATTCACGTCCATTGCAGATAATAGATATTTCTCAGTTTTTCCTGTTCAGCTTGATTGAGAAAAATAGGCTATTTTCTAATACACAACCTACAGGCATTGACCACTAATGGGTTGAAACAAGAAAATCTCGTTTTACTCGTTTCTAGAGTGAAATTGGAATTTCTAATTTTCTTTCCGTGCGTGAAATCGATATTTATTGAAAATTACCTACAGGCAGATGGTGGTGACGTTCGTACATGTATATTGTGAGTCACACTGGGGACTAGCTTTTTCGAAATCCTATTACAGCGATCTTTTATCATTTCCTTTATTAAAACATATTTTCCGAGTAATCTCAATGTCATAAAAGCGAGCGCATCGAGCGCTTTATGGTATTGTGTGTGGTAAATCAAAACCAACGAGCTGCCCATACGATCAACTTCAAACGGAAGTGTGGTTGGTACTTCATTACCCACAATACATTTCCCACAGCACGCAAAGAGAACTGTCGGACACGTTGAATGGATTAAAACATACCTTGACCAACAAAATATGCTTTCATATGGAAATAAAATCCATTGATAGGTTGAAACGCATGCTCCCAAAACTCGTGGAAGATTTTAACCATTCAAATTAAGGACCACTTCTGTTCTCCGGTGCACCTGATTTCCGGTTTAGGACTCTTGCACGGAAACAGCCGAAAGGTCCCGATTACGCTTGAAACCTGCAAGGTTATTTGCACTACCTGCAATATTTGAACGTACTTACGATATTTATTTGAATATTATTATGATTATGCATTTAAAGACCTATATAGCATTATAATGGGATAACTTTTGGTGTTAGGAAAGTTTTTGCTATGTTTTCAAAAAAGGCAATTTATATAATGTTGGAAACTTTATAAATACTTCTTTTGATATATTTATGAAAAAAATATAACAGTTATACTGATCCTTTAAAACGAAATAGAATAATCTCTGTTTAAAATTTTATTTCAAGCTTTTGATCTAAGCGCGCGAGGGGTTTTACTTGGTTAGAAAACCGGAGAAAATCCATATCCGATCAGGAAATCGAACCCCGGACGGCTAGATCATTGCGCCACCCAACAGCGTTACACAGTGGTACATGCGGATGTGTCAGAGTGTGTGTATTGTTTTAAAAGTTAACAAACAAAAATACTACTTCAGTGAAACCATAAATCGGGCCGATCAAAATTCCATCTTGTTAGTCAACTGGCGCTCGTTTTTCGGCACTGTCTTTTTCATATTAAACTCTTTTTACACTAGCCGAAAGTTAATGGTTATTAAGGCATCAACATTTAGAAACAAACATGGTTTGATCTATACGTACAGAGCTTTTAAGACGCATTTTGCCCGAGATTGGCTGGAAGAAAAACTATAAGCTATTAGACTGACTTGGAATTAGTTTCTGGGTATCTTTTTCATTCTAATGTTTCAAATTAATATCTTTAATCATGAAAATATGGTGGTTGAGAGAGGACGCCGGGGATTTCGGTGCCTGAGTGTGCTATACGTTTCCCGTGTGATCGTATTTCGTTTACAAATGAAAATGTCGTTTCCTAGCAACGTTTAGGAGTAACACATAACGACGAATATACATGGAAGTAGGCTAGCTTTCCTGATACTTAATTACAAATAGTGTCATTTACAATGATAAAGCGTCTTTAACAGTGATAAAGTGTCGTTAATAGTGATTAAGTGATGTTAACTGTTTAAACTGATAAAGCGTTGTTGATAGTGATAACGCGTTGTTGATAGTGATAAAGCGTTGTTGATAGTGATAAAGCGTTGTTGACAGTGATAAAGCGTTGTTGACAGTGATAAAGTGTTGCTGATAGTGGTTAAGTGTCGTTGACAGTTACAAAGCTTTGTAAAAAGTGTTAAGTGTCGGAAACATTCATAAAGTGTCGTTTACTGTGATGTAGTGTTAAAATCAGTGATAAAGTGTCGTTTACTGTGATGTTGTGTTATTATCAGTGATAA